GAAGGCGTTTGATGATTGGTTCAAATCCCTTAAATCCGAGTAAGTATTTTATGATTTTGCTACTCTTTTTTTTTTTGTATTTTTCGTAACATTTTTTCATTTTTCACTGATAGTTATACCATCGGCTGTATGATCGTGCACAACGCTAAAAAGTGGTTCGAAGATATACTGACGACCTTAGCTTGGCTCATCGATGATGTAAGTTTTTTGAGTTTGCATTTATTATATTTATAGAAGTTGTTGGTTCATTTACTTAACGACTTGGCTGTTGGTTCATTTACACCAACTCGAAGTAAGTGCTATTATTTTTATTCAAATAAATAATCGAAACAAGTAATTAAATATGAAATAATTAGTGTATGTACTAAGATAATTGACAAAATATGATTATTTTAATTTATATTGTTGTTGTTCAATTTTTTTTATTCAAATATGCTGTTAGAAAGGGTAATTAAATAATGTGATTAAAATTACAACCGATTTAAATTGAGAAAATCAAAAATATATTACAAATAGAGAATACATATTATTTATATAGATACTATACATCCGTCGAGTCATTGTTTATTGGGATTTGACTTGTACAAAATCGACGTGTATGTCCTGTAGCGCCGCACCTCCCGCACTTACGCGGTTGTGGAAACTCTCCTATAGATGGTATTCTAGACGTCCGTCTACGACCAGGAGTACGCGGTGGAACTTTAGATGGCAACAAATTATTAAGTGCTACAATATAATCAGGAACTTCCCACTCGGCTTCGTTTGATAGAGGAAATATAGTTTCGACATACGCTGCTCTCCAAAAATCAGCTATATAATAATGACTGCATAAGTTATGTGGTGGAAATCCTCCATACATAGCTACTGCGACAGCATGCGCACATGGAAAACTCTCCAACTGAAATTGTCTACACGTGTAGGTATTGTCATTCAAGTCTACAATGTATCCAACATTACGCCCGCATCTCACGGAAAAGCGAAATTAATCTAGTGGTTCCACAAATAGAGGTTTTGCCACTTCCAGAGTTTCGAATAGTCGATCTTCCTGTGCCGGAACTAGCACATTCGTGCAATTCTGGGATTCCTCAGGTCGGTCATAAAATCACTGTTGCAACTTGCTAAGAATATATTCAATTATTGCGAGAATTGGTAACTCTCGATCCTTCTTGAATAATGCATTGAGCGACCCTGCATTATTCGATGTCATCATATTGTATCGATGTCCTGGAAAATATAACCGTGCCCATTGTTCGACCCCCATATTTGATAGATATTCCCATGCACTTTCTGATTTATATTCCATTTTGCCCATGAACTTCATAAACTCTTCAAAGCTGTAAGTTTCTGCAGCTCTCCTAAACAATGCAACGATGCCACTGCCCCAGTACCTAGTCTTCAGGTTGCCCCGAATGTGACACATGCAATAACCATGATGTGCTTCCGGAAAAACTTCGGCTATACCATTTATTATTGACTGCCTCCGGTCATTCACAAATGCAAGGTTCTCGATGTCCCCAATTACTTCTCTCATCTTCGTGAAGAATCAACACATTGCTAGATCAGTCTCTCCATCGACAATGCTAAATGCAAAAGGGTAAATTTGGATGTTGGCATCTTGACATGTAGCAATAATCAACTTCCCTTCATATCTAGCTTTTAGGCTGTACCATCAACTAGAATTAAAGGTCGCATCGCATTTCGAAAACCTTTAATGCATTGTCCAAGAACCATAAAAAAATATTTGAAGCGATTCTGCCCATTGGTTTCAATAAAAAACGTCGAGTCAGAATTAGTTTTCACCATGTTGTGGCAATACCTGGCCAATTTGGCATAACTCTCCTCCTTCGAACCCATTAAATCTTCCAATGCACATTCTTTTGCCTTCCAGGCCTTCTGGTAACTCATAACTACCCCATACTCCCGACGGATGTCGTTGATGATATCTGTAGGTCTATAAATCGTCTGTGGGTCCTGAAACTTGTGCATTATCTATCGACCAATAAACCATGATCGAACTTGCCTGTGATCATTTTGACGAATACCCACTTCACAAGTATATTCCCGCGCATACTTGTGAACTACAAAGAACTCATTTGTGTCCATCTTTGTCGCTCTCAAATGCCAACTGCAATTGTTGTCCACACAAATAATTGTGTATGTAAACTTGTTTGATTTTTTTACCTTAAACTCAAAATTATGTTTCATTGCAATTCGGTGCACAGTTTCTTGCAAATCTCTTTTCGTGTCAAACAATTGATTGACATGTAAATCTTCATCATCAGGAACTACACGCGAACAATTAGAAGACCGTGTACTCGGCCCAGCATGTGAACTCCCACCAGACTCATGTCTCTGTCCAGATAAAACAATCAAATCCTGATTTGTAAATGGCCTTTCATCCTCGTTGTCTTGAATTTCTTAGTAAATCCTTTGTGTAATGGTGACATCATGGCGAGTAGCAACTGTCTCGGGAATAACCACATCATCATCATGAGCAATCTCAATAGTATCCCAAAAATAATCTCTTTACGATCCTCTCCATCGAAAACTTCATGTTCACCCTCGGAGACATTTTTCTTCAATAAAGTTACGCAAATAGGAGTTGTCTTTTGACCTTGGTTCAATTGAATTACATGCTTTACTTGCACTTCAGAAGTAACTTTCAAAGGTAGAATCGAAATTGTTGAATGATTTTGAAATAAAAATCCTAATTCCATATTCTACTGAAAGGAATCGATGTTAAGTATGTTTTGTATTTCATTGTACATTTCCGTAAACGATGTATTTTTTGTTATTGAAATAGTAGCAACCCCTTCTCCTTCACTCGTCCATTTCCATTCCCGTTGACCATTTTCTTTCCTTTGAAATTCGCCGAAACAACAGATTGTGACACATGCTTTTGCCATATCTACATTACGAATTAAACAATTATCAGCGACATCATAGTAATCATCAAAAACATACTCAAACTCGTTGTTCTGGAAGTGTTTCATAGTTTTTTAACCTATAAAACACAATTAGTGACAAAAAAAGAATAAGTACAATTAAAACGAAACTCAACATTTTTTGTATGCAATAAGAAGAATTTAAATGAAAATCACAATCTTTTCAGGCGATTTGAAATCCAATGCCGCTAAAACAACAAAATATTGTTCAGATTTCCTGGGGGGAGGAACCATGATCAAATAATATTTATTCGATTTTTCATTTAAGTCTTTTTCAATTAATTATATTAATTGTTTCCATAATTAATTATTTTAATTGTCTTAAAATGTATATTATTTATTTCATATTTAATTACTCTATTTCGATTATTTATTTGAAACATATATTTAATTACTAAACATATATTTAAGTAAAAAAGAAAAAAAATTAAAATTCTAATTTATCTTTAAATATTTCGTTAATTATCTTAATATGTATATTATATATTTTTATTTAATTACATTTTTTAACATAAAAATTAAAATAAATTCAGAAAATTAAAAAAAAAATCGGGTCTGGCCCGGCCAAACCACATCATGGTCCGTTGCGGACCATGTGGTCCGGAACGGACCATAATTCGTTTCGGCGATCGGTGCCGGCCTTCACTTCGGTTCTAACATTATTTTTTCTACCATTTAAAAAAATATACGACTTCAATAAAAACAAAATTAAATACTAGAAAAAGATACTTATCGAATTAGAGTGTTGAAATTTAACGAAATATTTTTGTTGCGGTTGATAACTGATAAGTTTATGAAATTTTGAGATTGAAGTGGATGAAAAATGAAGGAGTTTTTATCGTGTTAGAGTAAACTGATGAAAAGAGTGACTTCGTTTTCAAATCTCAATTGAGAGGTGTTTGGATTTTAATTTGTAACTTAAGGATATTTTGGTCTTTTTAACAGATTTCTATTTTTGTAATTGTATAACTCATTTAAGGGTATTTTTGTCTTTTACACAAGAATAAGCATTTGTGGTGAATGTCAAATTTTTTTTATTAAAGTGAAAAATTGGTTGTTTGACATGACTAAACTTAAAAATACCACAAAAAAGGACATACAAAATAGAGAAGTTTTTAACGAGTTTGCTTTATCATTGAGTTTGACAATTTCTAGACTCTTCGTAATTAATTGTTGCCCTCATAAGACAAGGTTTTTCCTGTTGTAAAAATGGCTTATAAGCAATGCTAAAAAAAACTTGTTTTGAACTTGTAAGCACTTAGCTAAAGAATTAAAATTTAGAGTTATTTGTAATCATAAAAACCTTTTTTTTTTTTTGGTATAAAATGAAAATTAAAGCTATATTTTGCCTTGCGTAACATAAAGCTTTGATGAGATTCACATTTTAGCTACTTTTGTATTTTTAAAGATATTTAGTTCTTTATAAATTAGTGAAGAAAAAAATCTTGGGATTCTTTGTGAAAATGTGGAATATTGGTGAACGATGAAATCTTTAAATGTTAAATAACTCTTTTGGATTATTTGTGGAATGCAGTTAGTTGTCATTCGTGGAAAGTTTTTCACAATTTCCATTGTGAACAAAAGAAAAATTTATGCACCCAATTGATTTTTCGAGTTTGGCAGTCAAGAAAATTTTGTTTTATTTGTGGAAATAAGTGGAATGCATGATTAATGGAGAGATAAGCACCACTCCCTTGAGAAGAAATCTATGTGAACATGTGGTATATTATTTATAGAATGGAACTTTCATTAGTGGAAAAACTTCCACAATTTCCACAACGGAGAAAGAAAAATATAGCCACCCAATGAAGTGGAGTCTTATAGACTAACTATGATGTTTTAGCGACGTGGAGAGATAAACACCACTCCCTTAAGATGAAATTTACGTGAACATGGGGTATATTATTTATAGAATGGAGCTTTCATTAGTGGAAAAACAACCACGATTTCCACAACGAAGAAAGAAAAATATAGGAACCCAATGAAGTGGAGTCTTATAGACTAATTATTAGAGAGAGAGAGAGAGAGAGAGAGAGAGAGAGAGAGAGAGTGAGTGAGAGTGAGAGAGATGGTGTAGTCTAAATCAAAGAAGAAAGAAGTGGAAAATTGTCGGGAAAGAGCACAACTTTTATTCATAGATTACCTTGTACACTAATCTTGCAGGAATATTTTATTTCATATATATACCCCTTATTACAGCCACCTGCCAATCATCTCTATGCATTTCAAATTAGCCATGGGGAAAAATGTGATCTTTATGTTGCTAATAATTCTTTATTTGCTTATTTACGTTATTGCATCTCGCAATAGCTCTACTGATGAGTATGCTCTTTTAGCTTTCAAATCTCAAATTTCTGATCCAAATAAAATCTTGGCAAAAAATTGGTCACAAGAAACCTCTTTCTGTTATTGGATTGGTATTACTTGCGGCAGAAGACATCAAAGAGTTAGAGGCATACATCTAACAAATATGGGCTTGCGAGGTACTATTGCAAAAGAGATCGGTGAACTCTCTTTTTTGAGATCCTTGATTATTAGCAACAACAATTTCCAAGGGTTTATCCCTGACGAAGTGGGTAATTTGAGCCAACTTCAAGAAATAGAAATGCAGTACAATGAGCTGAATGGTTCCATTCCATCAAGCTTTGGATTTCTTGTAAATCTACAAAAGTTAAATCTCTCCCATAACCTACTCAGTGGGGATATTCCTAACAAGATTTTCAACACCTCTTCTTTGATAGAAATTGGTTTAGAAAACAATGGTCTCTCTGGGCATCTTCCAACGGATATCTGCGCCAATCTTCCAAAGCTAGAGAAGCTACGAATTTCACATAATCAAATAAGTGGTGACATTCCTCCAAGCTTGGGAACATGCATGAATCTTGAACTACTTCATCTATCACACAATAATTTCTCTGGAAATATTCCTATGGAAATTGGGAACATGTCGAAGCTGCAAATTCTCTATCTACAAATAAATGATTTGATAGGTATGTTTAAAGCGTTGTTCATATGCATACATTCATCTAAAATATTTCTACATGAATAGTTATCTGCATGTTGCAGCCCATGGAATATGTCCTTGAACATAGCTACACTAAAAGTTATGCACTCACAATTCATAACACATACTTTACTACCACCGTCAAAAAATAAAAATAAATCTGGAACTGAAAACCAGCACTTGAAGAAATCACGATTAGTCGTTTTCTAGCTTATTTTAATTGCAGTGACTAGGATGGTCATGAACTTACATATGGTCTTAAAAGAATTAAAATAATATAAGAAACCAGAAAACACCTTACTATGCCTAGACTTAGCCAAGGCACGTGTGGGCTCGTAAAACTTGAGTTTTGATATTGCTGCTTTGTCATGCCTTGTGCCTTATAGAATATTGATACAAAGAATTAGTTATCATCACATGCTCCTTTAAAAAAAAAAAAAAAAAATTATAGGATGCAATATTCAATATCACTTGATGGGATACAATGGATAAAATTTCTACTTGTTTCTACTTGGTCAAGAGTGGAACAACCCACTTGCATAACATAGCAATAATACGCCTACATATTTACAAAATCTTATAGCTCCATCCATGTTAATAAGGGGCGGACCCACTGAGGGTAGAATGGGTCGGTCACCCTCACTGAATTTTCAAAAACCTTCAATTGGGCTTTTTAAAATTTAAATTTTCAGATTTTTTTTAGTTTCTTTCACAATTTATTTTAGTTCATTTTTTGTCTCGTCCCCACCGAATTATAATTCTGGATCTGCCCTTGATGTTAATCGGTGATTTTGCTCTTATTAATTTTGGTAAATGTCAACTTAGTAACTGTAAAAGGGATACTATGTGCACGTGCCAGTGCGTTTGAATCTCTGGGATTATGTGATTATCAAGGTATGTTTTGCAGGAGACATACCTTCGACCATCTTCAATATCTCTTCTCTCCTGAAAATATCTGTCAGAGGTAACCAAATTTCTGGAAAGTTTCTGCAACATCCATGCAACCGAGCTACAATGATTGAATATTTAGACCTCGGTGAAAACAAATTTCACGGAGAGATACTTCCAAGTCTATTGCAATGTCGTGCACTTCAAGTTCTAGACATCTCTAACAACAATTTCATGGGAAGTATTCCAAATGAAATTGAAACCTTATCAGCACTTCAAGTGTTAGATTTAACAGGCAATAACTTTGTAGGTAAAAAATTTCAAATTGGTTGGTATTTCTTTTCCCATTAGATCTAATTCATGTTAATTTGACGTTTGATATTTTAAAATCAATATGTTTAAATGGATTGCCAGGAAATATTCCAAATGAAATTGGAAACTTATCAACACTTGTGCGTTTATATTTGGTAGACAACAGCTTCAATGGTATGTTACTAGATCTCTTGAACTTACTTTATATATTAAATCCATTTCAATTTGTTATGTAGTGTCGTATCAAAAGTTTATGCCAAAACTCTATATTTAAGCCTCCGGAAAAATATAAATAAGTTATAAATAATCAAATTTCATTTTCAACAACATATTTCAATGGATCCACAAGTACTAGCCACTTATTTACCATTCATTTCTATATATTTATAAATTGAATCGTTCAAAAATTCTTCCCAGGCGAGGATAAAATAGTTAGATATAACAAATACTTTTATGCTAATGGAAAATCTAAATGAACTTAGGTTATCAAATAGGCATTTTACAGTTTTTTGACAAATGTGTTGTGGCTTGTCATGAAGATGGATACCGATAAGCCCACTTTCTTATTTTCTTGGGTTAAATATTATTGTTGTCATTGAACTTTTCCAACTGTATAACTTTATAAGTTCTTCAAGTTGTCATTGACCTTTCCCAAATGAATAACTTTAAAAGTTCTCAAAATTTACACGTGTGGGCTCGTAAAACTTGAGTTTTGATATTGCTGCTTTGTCATGCCTCGTGCCTTATAGAAAATTGATACAAAGAATTAGTTATCATCACATGCTCCTTAAAAAAAAATAAAAAATAATAATAATAATAATAATTGTAGGATGCAATATTCAATATCACTTGATGGGATACAATGGATAAAATTTCTACTTGTTTCTACTTGGTCAAGAGTGGAACAACCCACTTGCATAACATAGCAATAATACGCCTACATATTTACAAAATCTTATAGCTCCATCCATGTTAATAAGGGGCGGACCCACTGAGGGTAGAATGGGGTCAGTCACCCTCACTGAATTTTCAAAAACCTTCAATTGGGCTTTTTAAAATTTAAATTTTCAGATTTTTTTTAGTTTCTTTCACAATTTATTTTAGTTCATTTTTTGTCTCGTCCCCATCGAATTATAATTCTGGATCTGCCCTTGATGTTAATCGGTGATTTTGCTCTTATTAATTTTGGTAAATGTCAACTTAGTAACTGTAAAAGGGATACTATGTGCACGTGCCAGTGCGTTTGAATCTCTGGGATTATGTGATTATCAAGGTATGTTTTGCAGGAGACATACCTTCGACCATCTTCAATATCTCTTCTCTCCTGAAAATATCTGTCAGAGGTAACCAAATTTCTGGAAAGTTTCTGCAACATCCATGCAACCGAGCTACAATGATTGAATATTTAGACCTCGGTGAAAACAAATTTCACGGAGAGATACTTCCAAGTCTATTGCAATGTCGTGCACTTCAAGTTCTAGACATCTCTAACAACAATTTCATGGGAAGTATTCCAAATGAAATTGAAACCTTATCAGCACTTCAAGTGTTAGATTTAACAGGCAATAACTTCGTAGGTAAAAAATTTCAAATTGGTTGGTATTTCTTTTCCCATTAGATCTAATTCATGTTAATTTGACGTTTGATATTTTAAAATCAATATGTTTAAATGGATTGCCAGGAAATATTCCAAATGAAATTGGAAACTTATCAACACTTGTGCGTTTATATTTGGTAGACAACAGCTTCAATGGTATGTTACTAGATCTCTTGAACTTACTTTATATATTAAATCCATTTCAATTTGTTATGTAGTGTCGTATCAAAAGTTTATGCCAAAACTCTATATTTAAGCCTCCGGAAAAATATAAATAAGTTATAAATAATCAAATTTCATTTTCAACAACATATTTCAATGGATCCACAAGTACTAGCCACTTATTTACCATTCATTTCTATATATTTATAAATTGAATCGTTCAAAAATTCTTCCCAGGCGAGGATAAAATAGTTAGATATAACAAATACTTTTATGCTAATGGAAAATCTAAATGAACTTAGGTTATCAAATAGGCATTTTACAGTTTTTTGACAAATGTGTTGTGGCTTGTCATGAAGATGGATACCGATAAGCCCACTTTCTTATTTTCTTGGGTTAAATATTATTGTTGTCATTGAACTTTTCCAACTGTATGACTTTATAAGTTCTTCAAGTTGTCATTGACCTTTCCCAAATGAATAACTTTAAAAGTTCTCAAAATTTGTTATTGGACTCTCCCAAATATTATTAATTTCACTGAACATTCAAAGTTCTCTGAGTAGCCACTGAGTTTACCAAAATGTTATTTCATTAGTCACTCCATCACTCATCATTTGAAAACTTAACAATCTTGAGGAACGTGCCAAAATGTTATCACGTTCATCATTATGCATACCATGTTATCTATTCCCTTAAGCTTTAAAATAGCGAGTGACAAAGCGACGAATATGATAATATTTTTATAAGTTCAAAGGTAACTTGGACAACGTTCAATGAAACTGTGAAACTTGTCGAAAAATTCTGTGGCAACTTTGGGAACTTTTATATTTCAATGGCTATTGGAAAATATTTGAAAAAGTTCGGTAGCAATTGAGATATTTTACCCATTTCTTATTATCTTTTCATTGTTAATTGGATTTAGTTTTTGTAGTTTTAAAACATTTGTTAGTGTGAGGACCTATAATACAATATCTGTTATGATAAAGGATTTGGTTTTTAATTATTAGCTGCAAGATGGGCTTTGCTTTTTGGAGTGTTTTGATTAAAAAATTGTAAATGTTGTAAGAGTTATCTACTATAGTTTTCCGACCTAAATTGCTATAAGGTGAGCTTGGTTGTTTAATAATTTATTGTTCAAATTTATTTATACATTTATGTCTTATTTTAATTAATAAATATTGGAGCCATTAATATTTGAATCTAAAATTTGATATTGTAAATTAATTGAATTATTTATAATGTCAATGTTTTTTTTGATAATAACTTTTCGAAATTTTAAATACTTGACTATTGAATTTCTATTTTTAATATCCTAAAATCTATTCACAGGAAGCATTCCATCTGACATTGGGAACTCATCATCGCTTCAATTTTTATATTTGAAATCGAACATCTTGACAGGTACGTATCTACTATTTAACACTACTTTTAGATTCATTTTTATGTGTTGACAAACACAACATTATAGGTACAATTCCAGATTCAATTGGCAGTTTATCTAATTTGAAGGAAATGCAAATTGGTAACAATAGTCTTCATGGTCAAATGCCTCAATCCATCTTCAATCTCTCCATGTTGCAAATACTTGGTTTTTCATTAAATAATTTATCTGGCAATCTACCATCATCAGTAGCCAGTGGGCTCCCTGATCTCCAAGAACTTTATTTTGGTGGCAATCAATTAAGTGGAGAAATTCCGGGCTGGATTTCAAATTGTTCCAAGCTTATTTATTTGGAGCTTAGTAACAACTCGTTCAGTGGACGTGTACCTATTAATCTTGGGAATTTACAAGACCTACAATATCTAAACATAGAAAATAATCACTTGACAAACGATCCTTCAATGTTGGATTTGGATTTTCTATTATCGTTGACAAATTGTAGACACTTGAAGACCATAGCAATTGATCAGAATTCTTTTGATGGAATGCTTCCAAAAGCTTTGGGTAATTTTTCGACAAATCTTGAAGAGTTCTATGCTTATTCTTGTGGCATCAAAGGTATAATTACAAGTGAAATTGGTAATCTGAGCAACTTGATCATTCTAGATATGGGAGGCAATGAGTTCACGGGAAAAATTTCTGACACATTGAGTCAATTGAGGAAGTTGCAAGTGTTGTCACTAGATGACAATAACCTACACGGGTCAGTACTTGACAACCTCTGCAATTTGGTGAATCTTTATTACCTAGATTTGCGGAATGAATCAACTCTCTCAGCAGCTACCAACTTGTCTAGGAAATCTTAATTTTCTAAGCGAACTTTATTTAGCTTCCAACTTATTGACATCAATCATCCCATCGACGTTATGGACTAACGAGGAACTTCAAGTAATGGACCTATCACATAATTTTCTCAATGGTTCGCTTGTTCCAGAAATTGGCAGCATGGTGAGAATGAGACAATTATATCTATCTAGCAATCAGTTCTCTGGCGAGATTCCAAGCACTATTGGGAAGCTTCAGAATTTGATAGATCTAACATTGTCAAACAATCGGTTAAATGGTCCTATACCCGAGTCGATTGGTGATTTGATTGCATTGCAAACTTTGGATCTATCTAAAAACAATCTCAACGGAGTAATCCCCATGTCGTTGGTGAAGCTGGAGTACCTTGGGTATTTCAATGTTTCGTTCAATGATCTCACTGGTGAAATTCCAAATGAAGGGCCTTTTAAGAACTTTACCTCAGAGTTTTTCATAGGCAATAGAGAATTTTGTGGAGCATCTCAATTTAAGGTCAAGCCATGCAAATATAATAGAACCAGATTAACTATAAAAACTAAAGTTTTGAGGTACATTTTACCATCAGTTGTTGTGGTATTAAGTCTGGTCATTAGTTTAGTTTATTTAATGAGACGCCACAACAAAAAGAAACTTCTTCCAGCTCAGTCTACTTCTCCCATCACCATCAAGAGGATTTCATATCATGAAGTTCTAAATGCTACTAACAAATTTGGTGAAGATAATCTGATTGACAAAGGTAGTATTGGTTCAGTGTACAAAGGAATATTTTCAGATGGTATGATTGCTGCTGTTAAGGTTTTTAATCTAGATTTGGAATGTGCAAACAAGAGTTTTGAAACTGAGTGCCAAATTCTGTGCAATACTCGTCATAGAAATCTTGTCAAGGTAATTACCAGTTGCTCTAACCTTGATCTGAAAGCTTTGGTGTTGGAATATATGCCGAATGGAAACCTTACCAAATGGTTGTCCTCGAGCAACTGTTTCCTGAATACAGCTCGAAGATTGGAAATAATGATAGATGTGGCATGTGCACTAGAGTATCTACACCATGGGTATTCCTCTCCAATTGTCCATTGTGATTTGAAGCCTAGCAACGTACTTTTAGATGAAAATATGATTGCCCATGTTGCAGACTTTGGCATTGCCAAACTTTTTACAAAAGACCAGAGAATTTCAATGTCCAAGACGTTGGGCACCATTGGATATATGGCTCCAGGTAAAGGGTTCTATCAACTGTTTATATATAGAGAAATGTTATACTCATAATTATTCGTAAATGTTAATCTAACAGTGTATTTACATTCCATTTAACATTGCACTTGTTAATTTAATCACATATGCCAATTTTGTAGAGTATGGATCGACAGGATTAATATCGCCTATGGCAGATGTTTATAGCTATGGGATTATGCTAATGGAAACATTTACCAAGAAGAAGCCAACAGATGATATGTTTGTTGGAGAGTTCACCATGAGGAGGTGGGTGTTTGAATCATTCCCAAATGCAATAATGCACATAGTGGATGTTGATCTAGTACATGCAGCTGAAAACGATATTTCAGCTAAAGAGATATGTTTTAGATCAGTCATGGAACTAGCATTAGAATGCACAGTTGATTTATCTGAGGAGAGGCTCAATATGAAAGATGTTCTAACAAGGCTCAAGAAGATCAAAACTAAATTTTGTTAAAGTATAAATGAGGTGGAATTAGATGAAGAGGTTTATTTCTTTGTCACAATTGATTTTTCTATCTAACGAGAACAGAAAAAGATGATTATTTCAAGCTTATTACATACTGCTATTGCATAAAACTTGGCAATCGTATGAAGATTTTTTAAGCTCTGTGTGGCAATTGTCAGAAGATTTTTAAGCTTTGGTTGGCTTCTATTGTTGTGTTGTAGTAGTGTTATGGCCCCAAAAATTGTACAATAAAGTAATTTGTATGATGAATAAACAATGTTATGAAGTTATTGTAAAATAAGTTAAAGTATGTTTATGTATTTGGTTAATTTACTGTAAGATGTTGTAGTGAATGAGATCTCAATATTTTCATTAGATGAGAATACCATTATCTTATGATCGTATCCCCTTCATTTGCCCTTGACAATTTCTCAATTGATGATATGTTTGTTGGAGAGTTCGCCATATGGAGATGGGTGTTTGAATCATGCAATAACACATATAGTGGATGTGGATCTAGTAAATGCTTTAGATCAAGCACGGAACTAACACTAGAATGTACAGATTATTAACCCCAGGAGAGGATTGATATGAAAGTCAAAGATGTTCTAACAAGGCTCAAGAAGATCAAGAATAAGGCTGTTGGTTTTTACTATACAATTATATACACCATCTCATCTTTTGCTACGTGATCTTGCATTTCCTTCTCCATTTATCATTAAAAATTTCACCATATCCAAAGGTAATTTTTTTTTTATATAAAGGTCAATCTTTTTTTATGAAGGGATATTCTAGGGGATTTGAAGTTGCTACCTGAGGTTTAAAAAAACAGACAAAATAGATTAATATATTCATGAAATAATAGAATGGTAATTAGTACAAACGTTCTAACCTTTCAATGATATTATGCAAAACGTTCTTACATTTCATTTTTTGGCACTGTTACTCTTACCTTCACCTTTTATTGCTGAAATCATCATTTTCACCAAATTTTTCGTGTAAAATGACAAATATATTCTCTACCTAAATAAAACAACAAAAAAGAAAAGTGAGGTTAAATAATAAATTGCAATTATATTTCTAAATTTTTTTAAAAAAAGTGCAAGTGAGTCCAAATGAATTATTAAAAGAGTAATTAGCACAAAATGTCCCTAACTTTGATGATTACTGTGCAAAAGTCCCTACTTTTCATTTTTTTAACATTTTCATCATTATTTTATATTTCATTGTGAAAATCCTTATATTCATCTATTTTCTCAATTAAAAGCTGTAAAATGATAAATATACACTCCTATTTAAATAAACAAAAATAATTTTAAGAAGAGGAAAATAAAGAACAAATTGTAATTATACTTCCAAATTATTTTTTTTAAAAAAAAAGTCACTTTGTTTTTCAATTTCAAATAAATTTCAAAATTTATTTGAAACTTATTTGTACTTTTTTTTAAAATTTTAGGAGTATAATTGCAATTTGTTCTTTATTTTTCTTTTCTTTATTTATGTTTATTTAAAAAGGAGAGTATATTTATCATTTTACAGCTTGTAACGGAGAAATTTGATGAAAATAATGATTTTTGTAATGAAATATAAAAATAAAGGTGAAAATATCAAAAAATGAAAGGTATGAGTGTTTTGCATAATAATAATGAAAGGTATGGACGTTTTGTGCTAATTACCCTCTTAATAATTTATTCGGACTCATTTGCACTTTTTAAAAAGTTTGGGAGTATGATTGCAATTTATTCTTTGACTTTTCTTTTCTTTTTTATTGTTGTATTTAAATAAGGCGTATATTGGTCATTTTACACGAGAAATTTGATGATGATTTCCGTTATAAAAAGGTGAAGGTAGGGATAAAAGTGCCAAAAAATAAAAGTTGGGACGTTTTACAAAATAACATTGAAAGATAAAGACGTTTTGTGCTAATTACCCATAACAAAAATATATATATGCATATGATCATGTAACATAGTTCGGGTGACTTGTACACGAAAGGTTGACCAGCATGAGTTGATTGGGTGTTTATTTTACTTTCATTTTCCCTTTATATTTTCTGTAATATTGAAGATTTTTTGGTTGGTTCATAATTGAAATTGAGAAACGCTTATAGAGTCTAATAAAGGAAAAGTATAAAACAATGGACCAGAAAAAAAGATATGGATTACATTTATCAAGAATTCTAATATTGTTTTTGCATCACTTTTTCTAAGATAAATTTAGTAATGAGCTAATCAAAGAAAACTCTCCGTAGTAAAAAATAAATAAAGATTGGCTTGCTCATTCTATAAAATTGATAAGAGTATTTTAGAAGAAAGAAGGTAGTGTAGAACTCCAAAAGTTTATAAAGTATGATACATAACATATATGGCAACGTAAGAGATTTTTGGGTCCATTAGTATAGTTTAAGAAAGTTCGAGCTACTAAGTGCTAATAGCAAAATTATCTTTATAAACTTTACTGGAGTGTAAATTATAATATTCAGAGATTATTACTTATGAAAAGTCATGCTTTGAGTAATTTAGTGGATTTTAGAAAGTTTATGTATTAAAGAGAAAATTATGAAAAAGATTAAGGATAGTGACTATTAAGTCTTATGATGTTGCATTGATGACCCATAATGATAATAGTGAATTTTATGAGTTTAAACTCTATAAACGCTTTATTCTGCCTCTACTTATGAAGGGTCAAGTCGACTCAATAGGCATTGCGAAGCAAAGAGCTTTACTTGGAGAAATAGAAGAAACATGTATCACACGTGTAAAATCTGAGAATGTCCTACATGAATATACTACCATAGCGGGTATTCAAGATCGGTCCATGAAATTTTAATGAACTTAAAAGAAATAGCATTGAGAAGTAATCTATATGGAACTTGCGACGCATCAAGATTCATCCCTAAATGGGAAGAAAAAAAATGTAAAGTTTAGTGATTAGATTGTAAATAGAGAGAAAGATATTACTTTAGACACGAAGGTGGCAAGTCAAGCTATATTAAATGGTGAGAAGGATCATGAGATGCTAAGGATTTTGATTTGGGCACATTTTGATAATTTTAAAATGTTGAGGGACTAAGTTGGAAATAAGCTTTAACATCAATATATTTTTTTTTTTAAAATTGTTGTCAAATAATCAAGTGTTTAAAGGAGTGAGAATTATCATATAATATATGACTTGTTTCGAAGTTCATATTAGAAGGTGAATTATGACCTAAAGAAAAAGTTAATTCGGATAAACGAAATTCGAATTATAGCACATTGAAATAAATTACCTGGAAGGTGGAATTAGTTATCATTTCGATATTGACATTTGATAGCTCATAATTAATTATATATATTAGAATCTAGAAAAAAGTTATTTTAAATAATTGAATCAAGTTAGAGTCGATCAAAAGTAATCCCATAAATTAACACTTTGAACAGTCATATTTTAAATTTAAGGTGAGGTCATCAATGTTATTAGAACATCTTTAAGAAATTCTTTAAACATTAGATACTCTTTACTTTAAATAATCAACATTTAAATCATACGTCAATAGACTTTTTAAATTAACATTTTAATTTAGAGAGTGAATTTGATTCTCTAAATTTTAAGAGACTTTTTAAATATGAAATACTCTCTATTTTAAACAGTCAAACTTTAAAGTCATAGTTTAAGAGACTTTTTAAATTAACATTTTAATTTAAAGAGTGTGTTTTGAAGAATCAAACTCACTCCCTTTAATTAAATGTATTTAAATTGTTTCAATTTTTAATGTAGAAAAAATAATAAAATAATCTAAAGAAAAGTTAGTTAAACTAAAAGATAGAAAAAAATAATAAATATTTTTTGGAAATCGTAATATTAAACGTAAAATATAAAGAGTTTATTGGAGTGATATAAAATTTTAACTCTCTGAATTTATAGATGCTCTCTAAATGATAGAATATATTCTTTAAAAATAAATTCTCTTGTATATGCTCTTAGTGGTTTGTCCGCATCTTTCCAATTATGTTGTTATATATATAAATTTAATAATTTCAATTAAGTCTAAGGTGAAGTCTACAAGCATCTTATAGTATAGTTCGTCACACTTATACTCATTCCTCATTATTTACAATTTCAGCGTACCAGATAGTTATAGATGGATAGATCTGTTACTGGACCACGGATCTTCTTGAAAAAGTACTTTAATTACTAATAGTATTAGAATTTCTCGTAAAGTGTATTTTAGATTGCCCGATATGTTTTGTTTACTTTGTAGAGAATCAAACTCACCTTTGTATACTTTTATATTTTTTATTATTCAAGATTTAAATTGCATTTAGAACTGAATTTTCGTAATACTTTGATGAAATTTATGGTGCCAAAATGTTTTAGAATGATTTTAATAAATTAAAATAGTTTTTATTAAAGTTGTCCCATTTTCCAAGAATTTGTCCATAACTTTGGAATTTAATTGTGATTTCTGTATAACATATTTTTGAGTAATTTCACTTGGAAAACGTTGCCTTATGAGTTATATATCATCCATACTCGGAATTTTATGATTTCATGAGATGTAGGCTGAGATATGGTTGTTTTCTTAAACAGCTGCAGTTTGAATTGAGAAACTTATAGGTTATGTTTGAGAAATTATTTGGTCAACCTATTGAAAGGTATTTGGACTTGATTTTAGAAGAGGTCTTACCTCTATATGTCTTTTCTCAAACGATAATTTTCAAAGTCTAGAAGTTTCGTTCGCACCTATTTTATTCGTCGTTTCTAGAACTACCTGTGAAAGGAAATGAACTTCAGCAACGTTTTTAGAGTTAAAATATTGTGCATTCGCATCTTTAACTATTTAGCCGATTAGGTTATCGTCATTGGTTAAAAAGTATTTTAGTATCGTCTCCAGTGTTTAGAATCCGAGGCATTACAAGTAGATTAAAACGAGAGGCTTAAAATATTTATGCAGTCGACTCAAATTTTTTAGGATATAATTTAGTTTTTGTTGTTAAGGTGAAAATTATTTTGTGAGACAAGACAATCAAAACTTGATTATTGTGAGCATTTTCGAGATACATTGTTTACAAATATTTATGTTCAAAAACATGGAAAATGGATGGATATATTATGGGAGCCCTATGTAAAACATTTGTATAGAGCGGACCTTTGATGGAAGAGACCATTTTAAATGGGATATATTTGATATTTCATTCCTCATTATGTAAATAGCCTTTAAAAAAAAAAAAATTAAAAAGAGGGGCTTTTTCATTTTCCATCTTAAAAATGAAGACTTGAGTAAAAATTCTCTAGTCAAAAGTATGTTCGGCATATCCTCCTGTTCAAATTATAATTAAGGTTAAAATATGCTACTTATTTGAAATTGACCATTTTGCTAACTGAGTTGATTTTCA